CATAATCTCTCAGCACCAATGTGCATTCTAATGAGGGCAAAATAAAATTACAACCTATTCTCTCTTCTATGTACTTATGTACCTTAAACCAAGCCATGCTTCAATCAAATTTTGTGAAATATTCTGCGCACGATTCAGTTGTGTTATAAATTTTGGTAAAATATGAAAAAAAGATTAACTATTGTACATAGTTCAAGGCAGCAACACAGAGGCTCAATTGGATATTCCCTTGACAAATAAGATAGCCTTGTCAAATTGTCCATATTCAGAGCTTTTGTTACATACATATGAGCAGTTGGCAGCAAATGAAATCCAAGATTATCAACATCACTGATATCATAACAACAAAACAAAATAATATAGCTGATGAATCACCATATAATTTTGGAGAATTAGAATGTTGCTATCTTGCTTTGGGTTGACTGAGTAATTTCTCCCAGAATGAGTAGAATTCTAAGACCTTAGTCAAAGATGTTAAGTAGTTGACATCAAAGAGCAGGCAGTGCAGTCTCATCCATATTGGCCGAATAGCGAGGAAAAGGCTTATTGGAATAAAGAATTGTACGGTTTGAGGTAAGTAACACTTCTAAACTTGGAGCTGAGGATATAAACCCTGAATATACATGTTATGTGATTTGTTTGGATGTGATGCACATGCTAGGTGACGGGTGTGTGTGCGTGCACCGTAGAAATTGTGACTCAATCGATTCCGTAGAGCCGTGTAGTCAATTAACTTCTTATTTCCCATGTATCTTCCATGTGTTAGAGAAATTGAGCCGTGACTCATATTAGAAATCATGCTTAGGCATATACTGGTACTATTGGGACCCACTAAAGTCATTTCTGCTGTCAAATTATATGTTTAAATTGAAATTTTGTACTCAGTCATACTCATTCATTGCATATCATATCTCAGTTTTGTTATTATTTATTGATACACCATATCATCATTTTGGGCTAGTTTCATGACATTGTGAGCACGAGAGACTGGAGAGATTGATGACCGAGTGAAGATATTTATTGGATCGGACTGCACGTTGCAGCAGGCCATATTGGCTTTATATATTTTATTATTATGGGATTGGGTTGCATGCCGCAACATATTTTTATTTATTTATGCCTGGATCTGACTTATTATAGCGCTTGGGATGAAGGAGCCCCTCTAGAGTCTGCACCCCACACAATAAGCACAATGGATATTATATTTGGGATATAGTTCCCTGGGCATGGAGTTGCCATATATATTATATTTGGGATGGAGTTCCCTGGGCATAGAGTTTCCCTATACATTTATATTTGGGATGGAGTTCCCTGAGCTGGATTGGCCCTATACAGTATTGAGTGATTGAATGTCAGTTATTATGTATATATACTTGGGATGGATCTTCCCTGGGCTGGATTGTCCATATATATTACTGAGTGATTGTGCGCGAGTTGTCATTTATATTTGGGTTGGATCTGGCTTATACAGTACCGAGTGACTGAGTGTACTGAATAGTGAGCGTGATGGGTGGAAATGCGAGACAGTGAGATTGAGTATCCTAAGAGTGTGAGTACATGAGTTCATCATTGTGCTACATTGCATTAGACATGCATACTTGATATGTAGGCATAGGGAATCATTTTTCCTCATGCCATCTAATAATGAAATTTCTTATCTGTTGTTAAAGTTTTTGAGAAAAAGCACAGATTTCAGACTTATATTTTCTGTGATTTCGGCAAAAGATTTGAGTTTTACTGTTATAATTGAAAAGAAAATATTTATTCCGGAATTGTAAACGAGCTGAGCATTTTATCATTGAGTTATTACCTGTGATGCTTAATTATATTATTGTGGATTGTTATAGAACTTCGGAGCAAGGTAAGTCTCATGTCTAACCTTGTTAGGGGGAAACTACCCCTAGGTGATGTAATTATTATGTGCTACTAGTTGTGGGTGATACGTATGCACGCGTTGACGAGATTCCGTACGTAGCTAAAGCATGTTTATGTTCGGGTAGATATAGGACTTTATCATATAATATTTGAATTATTTGAACTCATTCTACTGGCGTAATTAATGAAATTTATAATCGAAATTGACTTAGAAATATATGTATATATATTAGGCCGAGCCTTATCACCTTGATTTGTTGGCAAGTTATTCGAGAAACAGTAAAGGTTATATTAACTTTGTGCTTATGTACTGTACTGTAAGCACGTGTTCCCTTCCTTTCTTGTGGAGTGGGTCGAATGCCTTGGTAGTATAATAGATGCATCTAGGGTTCGTGTTGATCGACCCTCAATAATGTACACATTATTCTAGATCGAGCTATACGACCTCGGCATAATCGTGCGTTATATCGCTATCAGTCAGAATGTTCACAAGATTATCCTTCTACTGATGCCCGTCATTTTATATGGTATTTCTTATTCATTTGATATTAGTACTGAATATTTTATAAGCTGTTGAGATAGGATACGAGATGAGAAATTGATATCGTTTAAAGAAATTTTGGAAGACTGTGTTAGTTACAGATTTACCTCACTACTACTGTTGTGTGTTTCTTATCTATTTATGATTTACCATATTGATTTATTGGACCATTAGTAAGTGTCGATATCGACTCCTCGTCACTACTTCTCTGGGGTTAGGCTAGATACTTCCTGGGTACGCGTTTATTTACGTACTCATGCTGCACTTCTGCACTAAATGTGCAGGATCTAACAGGTTCATTTGGTGATCATCTTGGCTCTTAGGCGCAGTTGTTAAGGAGACTTTATGTGAGTTGCATTTTAGACTACGCATCGCAGTCCACCGAGTCTTCATCGTAATATTTATTTTATCCTGTCTCATTTACATTCTAGACAGATGTTGTATTATTATTGTACTCTTTAGTAAATGCTCATGTACTTGTGACACCGGATTTTGGGATACACTAGTTGATGCCAAACCATCCTTCTTGACCAGAGTTTTATTCTCCATTGACTCTAACATCAACCTTTTGCTTCGAGCCAACTATCAAGAAATCAAATGGCCCCTCAGATGGCAGGACTTATACTCTTTCATTGAGAAACTCCAACATCAAACCATCTCCACCCAGGTAGCTTGGAAGAAACCAATCCATGGCTTTGTAAAGATCAACAGTGATGGAAGTGCACTCACAAACCCAGGAAAGATTGGTGCAGGGGTGGTTATTAGGAATCATAACTGTGATTTCATACATGCCATTGCTGCACTATTTGGGGAAGGTACTAATAACCTTTCAGAAATTGAAGCAACTCTCTTAGGAATCCAATGGTATTTGAGTAATGGATACTCTAAGATCCATCTAGAATCAGATTCTGCTCTCCTAGTTCAATGGTTAAACAATGGAAAAGGGTTTCCCTGGTCCATGAAGATGAAACTTCAACAGCTCTCAAATCTCTGTCATCACTGTGAGGAGTTCATATGCTCACATATATATAGAGAAGTCAACTGTCCTGCTGACTCTCTATCAAAGCTCTGCCATCAACTACCAAGTCTTACCAATTATACCCCACTCTCCTCACTGCCTAATCCAATAAGAGGTCAGATTCTGCAGGATTCTCTAGGTACCCCAGCATTCAGGCACAAGAAGACTAGGAAAATCAGGTTTCCATCACAACATGCTATAGCACCTGAAGCAGATGTGGTATAACCTCCACAACATGCAAGTTCCTCTACTTCATCTCATGGTTATGGTTGATGTTGCCTTAGAAATGAGGGCACAATTGTCAGTCCAAATGAAGAACAAAAGGCATCAGTTGGGGCCAATCTTTGCCTATGCTAACCTCTTTTTCTTTTTTGCAGATACCATCACTGTGGGACTGCACAGGCCATTGGCCTTTCCTCAAAGTGTAGTATTAACTGCAATGCTATTCAATCTTCTAAGAATTGATCAATGGACTGGAGCATATCTCAACACACACATGTTGCAACTATGAGCACAAAAAACACAATACTAGCTTCCCTAGTTGTAGGAAAAAAGACAGAAAAATCTAAAAAGAAATGCAATCCACACCACAAAAAAAAGCACCAACATACACCTTTTGGCCTATTCCTACAGTTTCTCTTAGAAACCACAATAACCTTGGAGCAAACCTCTCTATTCTGAAACACAAAAACCTATCTGCAATCAACAGAAATAAGAAACTAGGCAGAAATATCCATTTTTTCTCTAACTCTATTTTCTTGTTTGCAGATTTCACTCCTTCCTTGGTGCTCATCCAATTGATGTACTCCCAGAGTGTGATGTTAGCATCTATGATGCTCATTCTCCTTGGAGGATATCAACTGGATGTAGCAGATGTTCCAACTGTAGAATCTTGCTCCTTCAGTAGTTTAAGAAGACAGTCCCTTACACTTATCTGCTGTTGGGCACCCCAATCTTCTATATACCAGGTCTGTTACACCAACACACATATGTTAAAAAAAACACCACACCAATACAGCAAATGAAGCAGCAGTACCAAGTGCAGAAGCCCCTATAATTAGTATACAATCTGGGAAGGACTTCAATACACACTGCTTCAATCCTAACTATAGTTGCAACCATTTTTCAAATGGCAGCCACTAGTGCTTCAATCTTCACAAACACCCAAAAAATGTTGTAATTCTAATGTAGCAGTTCCAGCAAAACCTCATAAATCACAACCCAAATCCCTTTGCTCACAGTCCAAAATTCCATGATGCTCCCAGAATACACAAGAACCTGGGAGCAGATTTTTTTCTTTCAGTAGGTTGCCACACACCAACCTTTAGCTTTTCAAGCCAACAACAGTCAACATCTCACTTCATACCCCCACTGAATAGCCCAGATCTTCACAACTTACTCTCCATCAGTGCTCCCAGTATACACAAGAACCTAGGAGCAAAAGGTTTTTCACTAATCTGTTTGTTTCTTTTTGCAGGTACCAGAGATAGGCTCAAAATATTGAGTCAATTGCAAGGAGTGGTATTAGTATTTCAAATGCTCAACCTCCTGCAATTGTGTCAATTTTTATGGGCCTATCACAGCTTTCCTACTAGAACCTGTAGGAATCGCCACATGCTCACCTTCAGCTACATACACATCAGTAGAAACACCGTGGAAGATCCACATGGGATAGATCTGAAAGTAGGAAATCACATCCATAGAAGCCCAAGCTATTAGCAGCTACAACTTCACCCTTTAACCTCTCTACTACAGCCCAAGCAAACCATCACGTGCACAAATTCTCAGCTGAACACTTCTAGGGGCCCAGACCTAGTTCAGCTGCTCATTTATACCACATGTTCTTTCTAGCACAAGATCACATACTGCATAAGTTTCAGCATCCACAATCTATAAGTATCAACTGTATGCTTCCGGCTTCACTGGATGCAAGACACAACCCAATGCTTACCCTCTTATGTCAGCAATAACAGACATCATTTGTCACTATGTCCACAAATAGAGACCTTTTTGAAAGACATCTTCAATCTGGCTTTCTTTGACACCAATGTCAAAGAAAGATTGAAGATACCTCCCATTACACATGTTTTTGGCCATGCCCCATAGGGAATTTCTACACCTTTACAAGATGTAGAACTTGTTGTATATGGAAGATGGCTCTCCACTTCCCTTAGTAGATTTAGGTTCACTTGTGCATTTTTGTATAGTTGACCTAGGCTTACTTCACCTCTAATTTTGTACATCCAATTGTCTATCATTGTTGGATAGTCAATTGGAACATCATTATAGGTCTAACTCATCATAGAATTCAGGTTTCATCTGGTTGTCATGTTTTGATGACCAGATGCCCATGTACCATATTTTTGGATGTCAGGTTTATGTCCCCCTCCTTTGTTGTACTTTACTTTTTATATATGAAAATCAGCCCTAGGCATAATGCCTAGTGGATTCAAAAAAAAATATCAACAACCAAACGCTAAAATCGAAGATAGATTAATGAAATATAACCAAAATCGAATAGAGAACACTTACGACAATTCATATGGTTGTCACACCTCATTTTTACTAGATGAGGGATATAAGGGAGTTTTCCAATTAAAGTGACATTATTTGAAATGGGATTATTTTATTTATTTTCAGAGTCGCCACTTGGAATAGTTCATTTGGTGTCCCAAGTCACCGGTTTATTTTAAATCCCAAATCGGAAAAATTTTCGACTTTGTTTAAAAGCCTGCGAAACTAGAAATTCTAGATAAGGAATTCTGTTAATCCGGGAGAAGGTGTTAGGCATTCCCGGGTCCCATGGTTCGAGCACGGTCGCTTAAACTATTAATAATTGCCTATTATCTGATTTATTACATGTTTTAAACCTATGGTGCATTTTAACTTTATAACCGCTTTTAATTATTTTAAACGCCTTTAGGATTTATGGATTTTTTCTTGAACAAGTTACGATTACCGTACACTTGTTGTTTTGGAACACACCGCAAACCACGCTACATGAAATGCACCCGCGATTCATGACATGTTTATTTTATTATTAATGCTCAAAGTTGTTATGATCGGGTCACATGAAATGCACACCCGATTTTGGAAATTAGGTATCATGACCATGCCACTAGAATCATACCCATGACCACGATGATTTATTAATCGCGCCTAAAGCGAGCTACGAGTGTTCATAATTAATTATTTCTTAATGTTCATTAACGTCACTTTAACAATAAAATTTGCAATGGTGAGAAATGAAGCATCATATGAGATAAAATATATCCATCGTTAACAGAATAATGTGTCACCAAAATTAATTGCCCGTATTGAATGAAAACGAGCAAGCATGAATTTATGTAGACATAATCAATCAAGACTTTTGGGTCACGTATGCAAACTGAAACATCAGTAGTATCTCATTTAACCATCAAACTCCAAATCCATATTTTAGCATTTTATACAACACAACTTCCAATGAACAAACAACATGCCTTAATCTTAATGCAGCTATAATTAATTTGAAATAATAGAATACAGAGATGTGCTGGGATCAAACCAAACAGAATGCTTATACTTCAAGAATACCATACCCAATATATATTCATCGAGTTCATAAGCAGTTCATTTTGTGTTAAAACTAAATTTAAAATGACTGAATCCAAACAATACTAACAGATGCATCAGTAATGAACCATGATTTCAGACATTGAACAGATGGCAATTATTTCATTCTAAGAACTAATCAAAGTGCATAAATCTAACTAGTAATAGCAGGTAAATCAACGAAAGGCAACAATCTCATATTATAATAAATCTGGAAAAAATCAAACTTCAGTACATTAGGAGATAATATGTGAGGCAGTAGAGGATTACCTTGAAAATAGCACCAGAAATGAAATTTAAAGGTCGAAAAATTGAAAACGAACTCAGCTATGTTGCTACAGTAGAAAATCAGCAGCGACAAACCAACAAATTCGGACCTCTTTTTATATACATGAAGATTTGTTGAATACAAAAATATAAACTCGACGAGAAAAACTCGACGGAAGTGAGTCAGAATAACAGAATCAGCAGACGAACAACAAATTTATAACTCAAACAGCCCTCGAAACCCAGAAATGATCAAACCATGAAGCGAAAATCTAAACGGCCTTTTAATCTCTCTTTTTTCGATTTTTTTCTTTCTTTTGAAATTTTCTAGATATGAAATTTGAAGTGCAAACTTCCTCTCTCAACAAGCTCAAGTGCACGTGTGTATCCGTGAGTGAAAGAGATGGGTGGGGCGTGGCTGACTCGAGTTAGTTTTTTGCTGATTTCTAGCGGAGCTCGCCGACAATGGAGGTTTCACGGCTGGTTTTGGCCAGCTTCCATGGTGATAGATGAAGAAGATGAAAGCAGAAGTGGGAGGGGAGTGCTTATCGTGTGAGATTGTATCAGTGATGAAGATGAGGGATGAGAATCACCATTTTTTTTGATTTTTTTCGGAAAGGACCAGGGGTTCTGCGCCGTTTGCTTCTCCAAAACTTTTTTTAGGTTGGGGTTCAGGTGGTTCTCTAGGGTTAAGATAAAGAGGGTCTTAAGTAAGGGGATTTGGGCCGTGTCATTTTTTGACTTGGGCTGGCTGGGCGGAACAAAAATTTGGGCCACTGTATTTGTTCTTTGTGGTGGCCCAATACATCAAGACTAAAATTTCTTTTTTCATTTTCATTTTATTTGTTTTTTTCTTTAATTAATTAAAATCCTAAATCAATTTATTTTGTAGAAATTAAAATTCTTTATCTATTTCTAACATTAAAACAACTAATTAACTTAAAACTAAAGAGAAATGCTAATTTTAAAGACTAAAATCTAAATATGTAAAAATAACTATTTTTGTGATTTTTGCTTAATAAAATTAATTCCTACATGCAAATTGAATCTAAGATGACATGAAATTAAAATGTGACAATTTTTTTATGATTTTTAAAAATATTAAACATGCATGAAATGCAACTAAATAAAGAAAAACTCTTAAAAATTAATTAAAATTATTTTTAGACTATTTTTTAGGAGTTATTTTCATGTAGGACAAAAATTAGGTGCTCACAGCTGCCCCTCTTTTCTTGAAAACATGAAGAGTTTTCGGGCAAAGATAAAGTGAGCAACTACGAGCAATTTTTGCCCGTTTGAAACTCCATTTGGAAGCATTTTGAAAAAGTTTGACCGAACCTTGCTTCGGAGGTTGCCTACATATCCTTGGCTATAAAGGAATCAGGTCGGTGTAATTCTTAAAGTTTTGGTAGCTGGGACTACCTAAAATTTGTGATTTCACTACTGTTGTTGCTGTTTCTACTTGCTGAGCTCCTTATTAGACCAAAATGAAAGATTAAAAGCTAAACTAGCTAAGCCTATCAACTACGACTTACAAGATTCCTATCTATAAACCTTTTAAAGCTTGATCTTGAGTCTTGGCTGGTTCTTCCTACAGACTCTGATCTGAATCTTGATGCTCGTTAGCTGCGACAACTAGTTTATTTTTCTTCAGCTTTTCGGATCAAGGCGGGACATGCAAATCTTGTGATTTCAATCATATTTTGAGCAGTCCGCATCTTTTCTCCGCTTCTACACTTAGAGTTCACTGCGTTTCTTGTTTTTATTTTCTTTTATTTGGATTGAGACTTCTTCTTTTGGTCATCTCAAACCTCGTTCCTCATGGTAAAATACCTGTTCAGGCACCAAAACAAACAAACGAACGAAATTTTTCGACCCCAGTTTTCACTAGGAAAATTTCGTGAGTTATTGTAACAAAAATCTAAACTACTTCTTTATTGAAAGCAATTAAAATAGGGATTGTGTATCCCTGAGAAAAGAAATTAGGGAGTGGAGACCCTATATTTACAATGAAATCAACTGGGGATCGGAGGCCCCGAGATGGAAAGGTTACCAAGTTATGCTGGAAAGAAATGACTGGGTTATGCCAGGGAAGGTCCTCGGGTTATGCCGGGGAGGTCCACGGGTTATGCCGAGAAATTCATAGGGTTATGCTGGAAAGGTCCACAGGTTATGCCGAAAAGGTCCTTGGGTTATAACGGGAAAGTCATCGGGTTATGCCGGAAAGGTCCATGGATTATGCTGGGAAAGTCATCGGGTTATGCCGGAAAAGGTCCTCGGGTTATGTTGGGGAGGTCATCGGGTTATGCCGGAAAAGGTCCATGGGTTATGCCAAAAAAGTCATCGGGTTATGCCGGGAAAGTCATTGGGTTATGCCAGAAAAGGTCCTCGGGTTATGCTGGAAAGGTCCACGGGTTATGCCGGGGAATTCATTGGGTTATGCTGTAAAGGGTCCATGGGTTATGCCGAGAAAGTCATCGGGTTATGCCAGAAAGGTCCTCGGGTTATGCCGGAGATCAACTAGGGAGTGGGACCCTATACTGGAAAAGACTACCAGGTTACGCTGGCAGCGACTAGGGAATGAGACCCTATGTTGGAAAAACGTAGCTATAGATTGGAGACTCTAGGCTACCATGATATTGATTTTTTTTTTACTTTTCATTTTATTTAGGAGAATTAATGAAGAGTTTAAAAAGGGACTTCCCTTTTTAAGGTCCAACTTTTGCTGCATAACCGTTTTGGTTTCTGCGTGCCTTGCTTTTATTGCACCTGCTTCTTGCAAGGTTGTTTTGGACTGCACTTGTTTTGCTGTTTTCAAATCAAAGAACAATTTGTCAGTTTGAAACAGTGGTTGGTTTTATGGCCTAGATTGTTTCGATCACTTGATCTTGGCCCAATTCTTTCAATGAAAATCTCCATTGCTCGCTGGCTTTCTGGAAATTGGTTTCATTCCTAAACCCCGGGATCGTGACTTTCCAGAATTCCACATGATGGTAAACCCGTGTGGGGCTTGGCCTTTTCATTTTATTTTGCGTTTATGGGTATTTGACTTTTGATTCCTTTCCTTTTCAAAAGTTTTGATTCTGGAGCATCGACCATCATGGCCAGTTGAGATCGACTTGATGCACCTACTGAGGTTGGGTGCTTTTCTTGAATTCTTTTGTCAAACAAAACCCTGTAAAACCAATATTGCCATCTTTTCTTTGTATTAGTTTCGGAGGAGAATTAGACCGAAAGGGATTCAAAGAAAAGTAAACAATGGGTAGGATAATGAATTTAAACGAGAAGTGTCCCTTTTGGGGAAAGGAAAGAAGGACTTATCTGGAGTGTATGCAGACTTCAGTAGACATGACATGCTTCTTGGACTGGATACCCGATCTGTGCAAACCATCCAACTCTCATAAAACCCTTCATAATCCATAACCGAGAAACCTTGCCAGGACTCTTATCAGTACCGATGGTTATAAGTGATTCCTTTTTCGATCAGTGGCGCCCTTTGCGGGTTTTCATCAACTGACCTCTCTCATTTCTCTTCTTTCCGTCGCCGTATAGTGCTCTTTATGAGTTTTTACTAATAAAAATCTCTCATTTTCAATTTCTCTGCTCATCATCGCCTTACGGTGCCCGTGTGAGTTTTCACCAATAAGACTCTCTCATTTTATTTCTCTCATTTGATTGTATCAGATCCAAGTAACCAACATCCTCCCATTTTGAACATCTTTACCGATTGATCAGAATGACTTTGAACAGGATTTAGGGTAAAAGAGTTTGGATTGAATTACAACTTTGGAACCTTTCAGGCGAACCGTCGTGAACCATTATAAATTCTACCCCAGTTTCATCTTTGGGGGGAATGTGGATTTTTGTTTTGGTGTGACTGAACCCCAGAAAGAGGCTGCCTACGTATCCTTTCGGAATCAAGTTGAACATAGTTCAGGGAAATTTTGTTTTTTTTGTACAAACATTTTCGGGTTCCAAAGAGGGTAATCACAGAAAGGTAACCAGCTCAAAGGGTTAACAAAGGGTTAAAGTGTTTGGGTAGTGAGAATGAAAGCCTTCGTCAACCAACCAGAGAATCTTTGTATCGCAGAATGGTTAAACGTAATACCTTTTGACCGTGTCTGCATTGACAGCCGTTTCTAGGTCATTTCCTTCAATGTCTCCCAAGTACAACGCCCCTTTTGGCAATAATTTTCTTATAATGTACGGACCCTTCCAGTTTAGAGCGAAGTTTCTTTTTTGCTTCCTTGTGATGTGGGAGAATACATCTCAAAACGAGCTGTCCCACTTTAAAATTCCTAGGCCGCACTTTCTTGTTGTAGGCACGGGCCATTCTTTGTTGATACAACTGCCCATGGCAAACTGCGACCATCTGCTTTTCATCAACAGGGTTAACTGTTCTAGACGAGTCTTGACCCATTCATTGTCCTCAATCTCAACTTCAACAATGATTCAAAGAGATAGAATTTCAACTTCTGCGGGTATTACAACTTCAGTGACATAAACCAATAGATAGGGTATTTCCCCAACTGATGTGCGCATAGTTGTGCGATATCCCAACAATGCAAAAGGCAACTTTTCATGCCATTGCCTAGAACTTTGGATCATTTTCCTGATGATCTTCTTGATGTTTTTGTTTGCTGCTTCAACAACACCATTAGCCTTGGGCCGATAAGAGGTAGAATTCCAATGCATGATCTTAAATAGTTTGCATATCTCCCTCATCAAATGACTATTCAAATTTGCAGCATTGTCTGTAATGATAGTTTTAGGAATACCAAAACGATAGATAATGTTGAAATGCATGAAGTCCACCATTGCTTTCTTAGTGGCGACTTTGAGAGTGACTGCTTCGACCCACTTTGTGAAGTAGTCAATGGCAACTAATATGAATATGTGCCACTTTGAAACTTTTGGCTTGATTGGCCCAATAACATCCATCCCCAAGCAATGAACGGCCACGGTGCTGACATAGGATGTAATTTTGAAGGCGGTGCATGAATCAGGTCACCGTGTACCTGACACTAATGATACTTTCGGACAAAACTAAAACAATCCTTTTCCATGGTCATCCAGTAATAGCCTGCTCGAAGGATTTTCTTTGCAAGGATGTATCCATTCATATGGGGTCCGCATACTCATGCGTTCACTTCATTCATGATCCTTCTGGCCTCTTGGGCATCCACACATCTTAAAAGATTCAGATCTGGAGTCCTTTTGTACAAAACCTCTCCGCTCAAAAAGAAGCCACTGGAAAGCCTTCTAATGGTTCTCTTTTGGTCTCCACTAGCTTGCTCGGGATATTCTTTTGTTTTCAAGAATCTTTTGATATCATGATGCCATGGCTGAACATCAGGCTCTATTTCAACTGTGCTGCAATAACCATGTCTTTCTCGAATTTGGATTTCCAGTGGGTCAATGTGGACATTTCTTGGATATGGCAGCATCGAGGACAAAGTAGCTAGTGCATCGGCTAACTCATTGTGAAACTGAGGAATGTACCTAAACTCGGCGGACTTGAACCTCTTGCTAAGATCTTCCACATGTTGCTTGTATAGAATAAGCTTGACATACCGAGTTTCCCATTCACCCTGAGCTTGTCGGATAATCAAGTCCGAATCTTCCATGATTAACAATTTTTCCACATCTTGATTGATTGCCATGTTCATGCCCATAATGCAGGCTTTATACTTGGTAGTATTGTTTGTGCAAAAAAATCGAAGCTGGGCTATGGCCGGATAGTACTGACCGGTGGGTGAGATCAAAATTGCCCCAATCCCGACACCTTTTGCATTCACAGCTCCATCGAAGAACATTTTCCAAGTGTTGGTGTCTTCTGAGATTACGTCAACTGAATTAGTTCCTCATCCGGAAAGTAAGTACTCAAAGGCTGATATTCATCATTAACAAGATTTTCAGCTAGGTGATCTGCTAAAGCTTGAGCTTTCATTGCCGTGCGGGTGACATAGACTATATCAAACTCGGTGAGTAGGATTTGCCATTTTGCTAACCTCCCTGTGGGCATTGGCTTTTGGAATATGTATTTCAAAGGATTCGATCTGGTGATGAGATAAGTGGTGTAGGCCAACAAGTAATGTCTAAACTTCTGAGCGACCGAAGTTAGGGCGCAACAAGTCCTTTCTAATAAAGTGTATTTGACTTCATAACTAGTGAACTTCTTGATCAAATAGTATATGTCTTGTTCTTTCTTTCCGGTCACATCATTTTGCCCGAGAACACATCCAAAGGAATTCTCCAAGTTTGTCAAATACAAAAACAAATGCCTTCCAGGTTCGGGTTGGACCAAGACTGGCGGGTTCGACAGATATTCTTTGATTTTGTCGAAAGCTTCCTGACACTCATCTATCCATCTAATTGCCACATCTTTCTTCAACAACTTAAATATGGGTTCACATGTCGAAGTCAACGAGCAATGAACCTGCTGATGTAATTCAACCTTCCCAACAGACTCATAACCTCTTTCTTGGTTCTCGGAGGAGGCAAATACCGAATAGATTTAATCTTTGTTGGATCTAGCTCAATGCCCCTTCGACTGACTATAAACCCCAAAAGTTTCCCAGACGGAACTCCAAATGCATATTTAGCTGGATTTAACTTCAAGTCATACTTACGCAAACGCTCAAAGAACTTTCTCAGATCCCGAACATGGTTGTCCTGCATTATTGATTTAATGATCACATCGTCCACATTCATCTCGATTTCTTGGTGCATCATGTCATGAAAGATGGAAGTCATAGCTCTCATGTAAGTTGCCTCGGCGTTCTTCAAACCAAAAGGCATGACCCTGTAATAGTAAGTACCCCAAGGGGTAGTGAAAGCCATCTTTTCTGCATCATCCTCAACCATCAAGACCTGATGATACCTAGCATTGTCGCGCCCCCTTTTTCCCCTCATCGCGGAGAGAGGTCCGGGTTTCGACATTCTATGGGGTGTAGTGACTCATTTCCTTTTGGGAATTGGGTATTTGAAGAGTCGCCACCTAACTGATTATGGTGCATTAGGACACCTAGAGTGATTAACTCTTGGGTTGGTCTACATTACCAGAGATTAGGGTAGGGGCTCGAGATAACCTCGAGGGGAAGGTGTTAGGTACCCCTCTTGGTCCACAACTGTGGGTCTCGACTGAACTTATATTTACAAATTAGTCCATACAAATAGTTGAATCAAATAAGTATAGCATGTTTGAACAAGTCAAGTAGTGAAATAAAGGTTGAACAAATTATAAAGAAAAGTGTTAAACAAGGAGATGGTTTGGGGTAAAAGGGGAGGGGGGTCCTAGGTTGTTTATCCTATAGGATCACCCCACGTAATGTCCGTTAAACACTCCTTATTGAGGGGCTACACGTGACATTAATGCGTAGACATCATATCCCATGTCTACCCTTCCCGTCCCCTTATCGGTCATGCAAAGTGAGTGTTGGTCACTGATTCCTATTACGTGCTGCTACCCGTCCCTTCTTAATAGTCCCGGAGGGAGTTAGGACCTCTACCTATAGGCAGTTCTGGACATACCCTTAAGGTTTTAAAGGCAAAAATCTAAAGCGACAGTCAAAGAAAAGCATTTAGGACTTTCACATAAGTGGAGCAATTAAAGGCTCATAGTTTCCTTCGCAAACAAGCATACATGCAGCATGACTCAACCACAAGTAAGGTCTTTAGTAATTAGAGTCCTAAAGCAGAATTTCTTAGTGATTATGCAGGAATAAACCACTTTCAGATACAGAAGTCACAACCTATTAGTTGCCTAGGATCTCTTTTAAAAACCCATTAGAATTCAGAAACGTTGAGTGACAGAAATAGCTTCAGAGAAGTGCAAGTTTTGAAAATGCCCTAAGGCTTGCCTATATGCAGGACTGATATTTATGTTAATGCAAAAACAAGACAAGCTCAGAAATAGTCCCTTTTTAAACCTATAGGCAGGATATCTAATGAGATTATAGCAGTTTTGAAAGGACTAATTTTAGAAAAGTTATCGCTTAATAAGGCCAGTTTTGAGAAGTAAACTAGGCGAGACACGATTGATCTATTGGGCTAATTAGAATTACCAGATAGACTTGCGAGTTAGATCCCTATAGACATGATATCTAGGCGTATTACTGTTTTTAGTCAATTTGCAGTAGAATATGAAAGACTTAATAAATCAGAATTTCATCCTATAGGCATGATATCTATACTTGAGTTGATTTAAAACATAATGGCTTGGAACCTAGAAACATGGTTTCTAACATAACAAATGCATGATTTAAGAACATGGTTTGTGTCGGATGCAAGTGACATTAAAAGTGAAGTCCTTATAGGCATGATTTCTATTATGAAATTAAAAGTGGAACCCTGTAGGCATGATTCTACTATGAAATATCAATCAGATTCAACAGGAATAAAAACCCTATAGGCATGTTTTCTATTATGCAAAAGCAATCAGATTCAATAGGAATAAAACCCTATAGGCATGTTTTCTATCGAGTAAGGCAAGCAGATTTGAAAATAAATCCTAAAAGTAGGATTTCTACCCAAGTTACCCACCAAAGTATACATCTACCCACCCTTTCACTAAATACCCCAAATATTTGTTTACAAGTTATTACAGGTCAACAAATGAATTACATAAGCGAAATAGAAAATTAAGAAGCTGTTCTATAAAGAGCTTGCAATTAGGCCACAATTACCCAAAGCCTCCAATGGTCTTTCGAGACTCATTTCCATAGACAAATCAGAGTCTAGGTGTATCAAAGTTCCCTAAGGGTCTCAAGGACCCCGGGCAATGCTTACACCTAGACTTAATAGCCAGGCATTGAACCAGTGCAGTATGAAAAGCCAACCTCAGTATGCCAGAGTTCAAAGTGTTCTCAAGAGGATCCCAAGGTAGTACACATACTATAGGGGGGAGAACTTATTAACTAGGAGTAGAGTGAAAGTGCAGGACACATCGAGAGAATACATGAACTTAAAGGGAGGGGGGTCATATTAGCATGCTTAACTACAAACTTCACAACAAAACCACAAGTGAAAGCAGGCTAGAAATAAAAAAAACTGAAACAAGAAGAGAAACATGTTGTTGTTGAGACTGTAAATTAAACTAGGACACACTAGTGAAGATAAAAAGTAAGCAGAATGAAAGAACCAAGGAATATATATAATTAGCCTTGGCTTGCAGCCGGCTAGTAGTAGTAGAATAACACAGAGATTTTAAGTAAGAGAGGGGGGTTTTGAAAGCCAAGTGTGTGTGCTGTTTGTGAAAGTCTTAAAGTATTTATAGTTGAAAGTAGGTAAAAAAATCATAGTAGTGTACTAGTTTAAGAACTCAGAATCAATCATCTAGAGAGTCAAGGAAGTACTTCCTTGAGTTAAGGGAGTCAAGGCCAAACGGGAAGATTCAGTACCATATAAGGGAGGAAGGAAAATCAGTGCATGATTAAATAAGAAAAGGGTCAAGATTCAGTAGGCATAAAATAGCCAATTAGGACCAAATTTAGAAGGACCCAATTAAGGAAAGACTAAGTAAAACAAAGTACCATAGTAAATAAGGTAATACAATCAGTTAATTCAAACAGACGAGTAGAATTCTAGGACTTTGAAGGAAAATCTTTCAATTACCAAAAGTTAAGGAAAATCAGAATCAATCATGGGGAGTCATGATTCTGCATACCTCAACATATAAATAGAGACGATTGAATAGAAGTAGCAAACAAATAAGGTCGATTATATAGGCAGAAAGAAACAAAAGATGAGCAAACACAGCCATGTATAGGTGATGTAAGTAGACTAGAGATTTAACAGAACATATTCGAAGCATGGTGACCACAAGAGATTAACAAAAACCAGGTAAACAGGCTAACACACAGAAAGGAAGTAAAGGAAAGTCATGCTAACACACAGAACCAAAGTGGAGAACATCATGCTAATACACAGAAGCAAAGTAAAGAAAATCAAGCTAACACACAGAGACAAGCAAAGAAAATCAGGCTAACACACAAAAACAAGTAAAGAAACTCATGCTAACTCACAGAAACAAGTGAAGAAAATATTTAAGAAATTAGGGCTTTTTAACAGAGTTGAGTTAAAAAGCAGTAAGAACTTAGAATCGGTCGAGAAAAACAAGGAAAAAGGTTTAATCATAAAGAAATCAATCGAAACTGGTGTAGAAAGAACTCCGAAAACCCTAGTTTTTCAAAGGGAGTAAAAATGGTTTAGAGGAGAAGATCTTTCAGAAGAAAGTTTGAGAATAAGCAAATCACTGAAGGAAATAGGCTTAAAGCATAAAAATAACATAGATCTGAGAGATTCAGAAGAGAGTTAGGGTTTCAAAAAGAAACCCAAGTAAAAATCAAAAGAACTTGTTGAAACTTCACCGATCGTGACATACAAGGTGTGATTTTGCCCAAAATCACACCGGAGAACCCATAAGTAACAGAAACAGAAACCCTAGGTCTAAATCGACATGGACCAGGATCCTTTAAGGCCTTAGAGATGATGAGCATGGTGATGAGAGACCCATTGGAGGCTTGGGTTGAAAGGGATAGTCGCCGGAGATGACCGGAGACAGAGGGGAGTGAAGGAGTCTAGGGTTAGGTTTAAGAGAAGTGTGGATATGAGATAGCATCTGAAGGCGGCGGATTGGGGGAAATGAATTAGGTTTAGGGGT